AGATCCATAGCTGCAGGATCATTCTATCTATCTATCTCACCCATGGGTTTTTACAATTTTCACCCATCACATCCTTTATTGTTTTATACTTTGTTTCATTATGTTATTGTCATCATTTTATTGCATTGCTATGTTATTGTTAAGCATTTTTATTTAATGTTATTGCCTGTTTTGTATGCATTTTATTTTGCCTTTTTGTAATTACTTGGGTTTGGCCTCATGTTAGTCTTCTCGAGTCCCTTCAGGGAGATGGTGGTGGGTTATAAATGAAGTTTTATTATTATTTATTATTATTATATATTGCTCATGGTATCCAGCTGTCTTCCAGATGTGTAAAATCATGTTGTTTGCCTAGAGCAGGCATGGGCAAACTTCATCCCTCCAAGTATTTTGGACTTCAACTCCCACAATCCCTAACAGGGATTATGGGAGTTGAAGTCCAAAATACCTAGAGAGACGAAGTTTGTCCATGCCTGGCCTAGAGGCACAAGGAGCATATGGAGAGAGTGGTATATTTGTCAGCATTTAGAATGGTGGAAGTGAGGACAAATTGTATTATTCCCCAACTAGCATGGCCATCAGCCAAGTTGGCAGGAGATTCTGAGAGTTGCAGTCAAAAAATAAATGGCAATTCCAAAATTGCAGTTTAATTTTAGTGGGTTGTTGTAGGTTTTTTCGGGCTATATGGCCATGGTCTAGAGGCATTCTCTCCTGACGTTTCACCTACATCTATGGCAAGCATCCTCAGAGGTAGTGAGGACTCACGACCTCACCTCACTACCTCTGAGGATGCTTGCCATAGATGCAGGTGAAATGTCAGGAGAAAATACCTCTAGACCATGGCCATATAGCCCGAAAAAAACCTACAACAACCCAGTGATTCCGGCCATGAAAGCCTTCGACAATACAATTTAATTTTAGTCTCTGGACTTTATGATCAGATTTTGAAATGAGGTGATAGATGATAGTATCTATAGTATGTACCTCTGCACTCATGAGGCAGGTTTCCACAGTTTAACTCATCCACATTTGGAAGAATATGACCTATGATTCAGCCAGAAATTACCAGAGATTTCTGGCATTTCTCAGAGAGGATGCCTCTTTAGGAATTTTCTAGTTCTTCCATGGTAACGTCCAGTGAAGTTATACATTTCAATAGAGTTCCTGATTTCAAGATAAATTCAGATTATGAATTTCAGTAGGGTTTCTTGTTTCCATGGTGAATTCAGGAGCATGTTCCCCTGCCGGTACAAAAGCCGTACTGTATTACTTCACTCTACAGTATTTAGTATAATCAACTATAGATTTTAGCCTAAAGAAAAATCAATGATAAACAGTGAAACAACAAAACTCCAAAAAGTTGTTAATGTCTTATAAGTTATATTACAATTATAATATATAAATATACATGATGTAAGCAAAATATAAAAAGTATTAAAAGTACAAAATACAATTATAATATACATAGTACAGAAGTGAAGTGTGCAGATACAATGTTGGCACATACAATTACTGAGTCCATTACTCTCAGGTAATTCTGGGTTGGGTTGTTTTCACTGCAGATCAAGATAAATTAACCATAATTGATTTAATTGAACTGGACAGTAAGTAGATAATTTTACACCAGTCGATAAAATTAGCTACAGGCATGAAGCATTTTACCAAGTAATTTTCCCCGGGGCTTCATATAATTTACAACCTAACACATAATGTACTGTGTGCTCGGTCACAAAAAGAGAGTCACCCTTCTCTTGAAATATTCTTCTGTCTGCCTTCCATAAAGCACAAGGTTGTAAAGTCCTTGAGGGAAGAAATCTGGTTAATCTCAGTCAAATATTTAGTTTCCCAGCAGCATGTTTATAAAAAGAAAAACTAGAAGAGAATCTCAATATCTTGATTGTTTCATCGGATATCCTAGTATTATATTTCTGCAACTTAGACTGATTTGTGAATTATGAATATAAAATCCAGATTCTCTGCTTTGAACTGGATTATATGGTAATGTAGACACACACAATCCATTTTAAAGCAAATAATGTTGATTATCTGCTTTGATAATCTGGATTATATGGCAGTGTCAATCCAGCCTCAGTTTCAGAAGAAGTCAAAAGCAAATCCTCTCTGAATAAACCTTGCCAGAAAATGCCATGATAAGTTTGCTCTAGAGCAGTAGTTCTCAACCTTCCTAATGCCGTGACCCCTTAATACAGTTTGTCATGTTGTGGTGACACCCAACCATAAAATTATTTTTGTTGCTACTTCAGAACTGTAATTTTGCTACTCTTATTAATCATAATGTAAATATCCAATATGTAGGATGTGTTTTCATTCACTGGACCAAATTTGGCACAAATACACCCAAATTTGCATACTGGTGGGGTTGAGGGGGGATGAATTTATCATTTGGGAGTTGTAGTTGCTGGGATTTATAGTTCACCTACAATCAAAGAGCATTCTGAACTCCACCAACTACGGAATTGAACCAGACTTCGCACAAAGAACTCCCATGACCAAGAGAAAATACTGGAAGAGTTTGGTGGGCATTGACCTTGAGTTTTGGAGTTGTAGTTCACCTACATCCAGTGAGCACTGTGGACTCAAATAGTGATGGATATGGGTCAAACTTGACAGGAATACTCAATATGCCCAATTGTGAGCACTGGTGGAGTTTTACAAGGGGGGGGGAGACCTTGCATTTGGGAGGTCTTCATCTACAATCAAAGAGCATTCTGAACCCCACCAAGGATAGAATTGGGCCAGACTTCCCACACAGAACCGCCATGACCAACAGAAAATACTGGAGAGATTTGGAAGGAATTGACAATGATTTAGAGGAGAGCATGCCTGCTCTTCCCTCCCCACTTGGAGTTTCAGCCCTCCCCTCGGCTGAGAGGCCAACTGAGAGGCCAGCCAATCACAGCAAGAGGAGGGCTTTTGGTGGGAGGAAGAGAAGGACAGGCGGAGAGATCTTCAGCCTTCTCTGCCAAAGGGGTTTCTAAGACCACCAGAAATATGTGTTTTCTGATGGTCTTTGGCGACCCCTCTGAAACCCCTGTCGTGACCCACTAGAGGTTCCAACCTCCAGGTTGAGAAACGCTGTTCTAGAGTTATCATACATTGGAAACAACCTGAAATAATAGGATCATTATTAGTCCTGATCCGAATAGAGTCATTGAATGAATTTGATTTATTCGCCATTCAGCAATTGGCTTCTGGTTGTATGCTAGACAATTTTTATGCTGTTCTACTGGATCATAAAGAGGTGTGATTTGCTGAATGCCTGTTTTGTTTCTGCAGCTGGCTCTATGTCAGGCTGCTTTTGCCATGTTGGAAATTTGGGAGAATGGTGCTCATTTAGGTGAGGTTCTTCCCCACGTCTTCCTTTTGAAATGAAACTCCAGCTGTAGGGCTCACAACAGGAGTAACAAAATTGGTTAGCAATTTCTAAGCTGTGCCATGCAATTTTTATAAGTTTAGTGTATAAAGTTCTTAGTGCAAATTTAATTGTCGTTTTGCATATTCATATCTTTATAGGAGGTGGAAAGGAAGGTCAATACGATGTGTAAACAGGCTAATGGGAAAGTAATTTCCCAACTGCTTTTATGTATAACTATCCAACATAATATTGAAATGCAACTCCCTGATAGAAAGTGATCCAGGGCTGGAATCAGTGGAGAAGACTGAAAGAGTTTTTTTAGTCATGTCAGTGGTAATTTCAGCCAAGTTTCTCATCCTCAGAGTCATGCTGATCTTAGTAAATCTCAATTGAGCATATTTACAGGATATAACAGGCATGGGTGAACTTTGGCCCTCCAGGGGTTTTGGACTCCAACTCCCACCATTCCTAACAGCCTCAGGCCCTTTCCTTTCCCTCCTCAGCTACTTAAGCGGCTGAGGAGGAAAAGGAAGGGGCTTGAGGCTGTTAGGAATGGTGGGAGTTGGAGTCCAAAAGGAAAGTGCCTGAGGCTGTTAGGAATGGTGGGAGTTAGAGTCCAAAAGGAAGGGGCCTGAGGAATGGTGGGAGTTGGAGTCCAAAAGGAAAGGGCCTGAGGCTGTTAGGAATGGTGGGAGTTGGAGTCCAAAACACCTGGAGGGCCAAAGTTTACCCATGCCTGGTATATAAGGTCTGTGTGATATTTGGGATACTGTTGACCTTGTGTTTATATTTGGCAATTCTTGCAATACTATGTTCTCATTTGAAATTGCTTCATATGGCAAAAACCAGGTGGATTTCTTATAATAATCTGAATGTTGTTCCTACTCCTCTTTCATAAAAGCCTTTCAAGGGGGTTTAAACAAACAATAGGCCTCTTATTGTTAGTGGAGCAAGGTGTTGCTCTGGTGAGACCAATTCAAGCATTGCTTGGAAGCTTTGTGAATATTAACATTGGTTTGCCCAACAGCAGTGTTTCTTAACCTGTGGGCTGTGGACCACCAGTGGGCAGCAAGGATAAAAATCTGGTCTGCCAGTCTCCATCCTCTTTATTTGTTTATTTTATTTCCACTCCTTTTGCGCCATCTGCCACTCCTTCCCAGTTGCTGACCAGCCCCGACACCTTGGATAGACCACATCAGCTCTAGATTATTAAATATGGGGTTTTTTTGTAGGCGAGCTGATGGAGACTACTGGATGGCATATGTTCTGTATCAGAAACTAGAGCTGATGTGGTCTATTCAATTCAGTTTTCTGAATCAGCACACCAAATAACCAAACCAAATCTAAAATTGACCAAAAACTGATTTGTGACCCTTTTGGTACTAATGTTAAAGTGGTCCCTGGTCAAAAAAAAAAGCAGTCTACAGCATTAAATTGGTGTCTTCACCTCCCAAATTTCCAAAGTGCTTAGCTAACTTCGCATCTGATTAACATAATAGCGGAGTTGAGGAGAGAGAATTTATGCAACTAGAATTATTATAAGGTGTCCAACATTTAGTATAATTCAAATATACTTCCACTGTTTCCCTTTATATATTTTTTTTCTTTCAATCCTTCTTCTCAGACTGGATATTTCCATCTGCCTGATGGAGACTACTTCATTGAACCAGTAAAGAACTATCGGTCAGAAGACGGGGCTCATCCACATATAATCTACCGAGCAAACACCGTTCAAAAGGCTGTGCGGAAACGACGGGACACCTGGGCAGAGAAGAAACACGCTTGTGGAGTAAATGGTATATCTTTAAATACTTTTGGAAATATGTGTGTTCAATCCACTTGTCCTGGGAAAACTTTCTCCCACGGCTGTTTCGTATTACATTAGGTGCATCCTTCTTTAAAACCATATGAAAGTAGGCAATATGTTCCCTTGAATACTTTTGGGAACTGTACTTGTCAGGAATGTTGAAGAATTTTTGTTATGATTCTTGGCCAATGAAAGAGAATAATAGTTCTCATCTATGTACATTTTTGTTGTCAACACATATAGAAGTGAAAGAAAAGTTGCTCTTGTAGAAAGTCAAAACGTGCAGTCAGGTTTTTCTATAGATGACACTCTTCTTGATGTAGGGTTGGCCAAAAACATTCTGTTGCTGAGTTGGACAGGAAATCACCATATCTTATTTCGTATACACAAAGGCACCCTGGGGAACATTCATGCTGAAATGTTTGAGTGAGTCACCTCTACAGCTTAGAACAGGTCATGGAATCATAGAATCATGGAGTATAGATTAAAATGCCTCATCTCTTTCACTCCCCTCTGTGGCATTGGACAACATGATTTACATTGGCCGCTGATGAAGACCTTGAGCCATCTTTCCCCCTTCAACAAATAATTTATGTCGTATGGACCTTGTGTTGCTGTTGCTGTGTGCCCTCAAGTCATTTCCAACTGATGATGACCCTGTGATGGGATTTTCTTGACCAGATTTGTTCAGAGGTTTGCCATTGCCTTCCTTAGTAGTTGAGGTATGTGACTTGCCCAGTGGGTTTCCATGACTGAGAGAGGATTTGAACTCTGGTTTCCAGTAACCTAGCCCAACACGCAAATCACTACACCACCCTGCCCCCCCCCCCATAGACCTACTGTTATTTATGGGGTGGACTTTGTAGCATTAATTTGAATAATTACTGATTTCATAGGATCATAGAATAATAGAATTGCTGTCATGACTCCTTTCCTGATGTGGGGAACCATGGAAGTAGGTCATGCCTTGGCTGGTAGCACACCTGAAGAAGGGAGAGCTGACCAGGACAAGGATCTCCATGGAAATGGGGTGGGCACAGTAAAAGGGAGGGCCAGGGTGAGGGATATGAGGAAGTGAGAGGTAAAGTAACTTTCAGATGGAACTTTGCTTTGTAACCGTACTGTATGCTTTGAGAAATAAAAGCCTTCCAGTCTGCCTGTGAGATAATTTCATCTCTAGAGAGTTGCAGTACAAGACAGTTGGAAGAGACCACTTGAGACATCTAGTCCAACCCCTTGCCATACAGGAAAAGCACAATCAAAGCACCTCCAGCAGATGGCCATCCAGCCTCTGTTTAAAAGTCTCCCGGGAAGGAGCTTCCACCACACTCTGAGGCAGAGTTCCAGTGCTGAATAGCTTGTATGTTCAGGAAATTCTTCCTCATGTTCAGGTGGAATCTTCTTTCCTGTAATTTGAATCCATTGCTCCAAATCCTAGTCTCCAAGGCAGCAGAAAACAATCCTGCTCCCTCTTCCTTATGACATCATTCCACATATTTATACATAGCGATCATGCTTCCTCTCAATGTATTATATTCGTTATATATTTTATACACACAACTTTTTTTCATCTTGTGTTGACCGTACCACCTATTCAGTTTCATCTGGTGGCTCTTATGTGACTGCCACAGAGAATGTATTCCTGGTTTTAATCTAGGCTTTAAAGGAGTGTTCCAAGGTTTTCAACTTTATTCCTTAACAGCATTAGCACCTTGGAAAGTTAATTTAAAAGTAACGAATATTTTTGTGTCAGGAGCGACTTGAGAAACTGCAAGTTGCTTATTGTGTGAGATAATTGACCATCTTCAGGGGATGCTCAGATGTTTTATCATCCTGTGGGAGACTTCCTTGAATGGGAAGCTGGAGCTGACAGATGGAAGCTCAACCCATTTCCCAGATTCGAACTACCAACCTTTCGGTTAGAAGTCCTGCTGGCACAAGGTTTTAACCCATTGCACCACTCGTGGCTCCTGAAACCTGGAATAAATTCACTGCTCCATTGATGGCATCCACCAGTTGCTACCACTAAACAATGATAAAAGAACAGTAAGTGTATTACTTTCCTAGAAAATTTTTGTGTATTTGATTCAATCTGTAATTTTTTAAGGGAATTTAGAGCTTTGCTTTGGGCTAAAAGCAAGATTTTACAGCAAGAGGTTTCCCATTCCATCCAAGTGCCACTCATCTACAATTATCTGAGTCAGCCCTTACCTTTGACATAGAGAAAACTAAGCTGCAATACAAAAATCTGGGGAGAATGGAAGAATAGGACATATTAATGAATTGTGATGGGAAAGAGTTTGTGAAGTGGTTGATACCCACTCCACAGCTCAGATTGTCATGTCTCTTAAATGACAGGCATTGTGCAACAGACAGCATAGTCTCTTTGCAATTGGTTCATTGCGCTCTCCTACTAATGCCATGCATTCAGATACCACCTCTCAAGGCTCCTGTCAGTCTTTTATGTGCAAATGAATCTTTTACAAAATCCATTATCAAAGAAGTAGTAATCATATCTCAGATATATTCCCATGTGTCAAGTGGGGTGATTTGTGTAGTCCAAATCTGCTCTCCATCCAACCTTCAATCAAATGCATTATCTGATAATTCCACCCATTTAGAATCCTTGTGAAATCTACACAGCAGAGCTGTCCTTCACAATTCTCTGAATGTGGATGAGTGTGCTTTCCGTTTGCTCGTTGGTTTTTTTGAGCAGTCTAACTACATCCATTTCAAAGTCCATAACAATGACCAAAGTATGAGCCAACATGGTGCAGTGGCTTGATCATTGGGCTACAACTCTGGAGCCTAGGTTCAGCCTTGGGCAAGTCACACTTTCTCAGCCTCAGAAGAAGGCAATAGAAATCTCCTCTGATCCAGTCTTGCCAAGAAAAATCCATGATAGGATCACTTTATCACTGTCCCAGGAACCTGGTTTTGGTCCATTATCATAGAAATAATGAGAGGCCAAATTCACTGCATTCCTAACACATTTAAGGAGGAGATTCCCCCTCTTTCCACCTTCTTTGTGTCAGATTCCTGCTGAATTTAGTCATAAACAGAATCCGCCAGCACCAGCTGTTTCTTTCAAATTGCCCATGGAAATGGAAGTTCATTTCTCGCTCACAGCAGTTGCACAGGATTTTTTTAAAAGAACCAAAATAAATTCTATTGCCAAGTGATATGTGTAAGATTAATAGTCTGTAGAGTCTCAGCTGGATGGAAAAGCAATAGTTGTGTGTACATCTTTATCGCAGTCCAATTCCCAGCAAGGTTCATAGTGAAATCCTTTCGCTCAGCTGGAATGGGGTCAGGTCTCATAGTATTGGGCTATGAGTACAAGTAGAGTTGTATTTCTTTCCTAAGCTTTTGATCATTGAAACACATTGTTTAGGGACACATTTCACTCTTATATTTGTAAATAGACTATACACGTCATTTTCAACAGAGGAATTTTCAGCTGCCAAGCTTGTGTCCTTCTCATTATGTGGATCGAACATGATTTGTCTGTGGTTCAAGGACCAATGTAAAGAAGGATCAAAGGGCAGTTCTAGCCCTAGGTTATTTATTTTTGATTACTGGTTGGAGGTAGACAGAGGTTTTGTTTTGTAGCAGTCTCTCAGCAGATGCAATCTCATCCGCTAGATTCACTCCACCCACAAATTGACCGTGGGTCAGAGTCCAACCTCCTGCATGGTCAGAGACTAAGACTGGTTTACTATCATCTGCCTCTGCAATTGGAATGAAATATGCCAAGACCTTTTTCTGTCTCTTCTTATCACAAGAGGGAGGATCCACTCCACCAGGCTTGGTGGGAGAAAGACCCAGGCTCCTGTCCCCCTGCCAGGTCAGAACCATTGTCCCTACTGCACAAGGCATTTGCTCCCTTCCAAATTCAGTTCCTTTTCTGGATTCCTGTGCCCTACCTAATCTAACCTTGTCTCCTTTTTCATGTCAGCGGCACAGTCTCAGGACACGAAAGTTAAATGTCTTTATCTTTGGAGCAATTTAATTAAAGCACCAGCATGCCTTGAGAGGAAGAGGGGGAAAAGCAGGCTCACAGAAGTGTTACAATTACCAGTGTTTGGAGTTTTCTGTTTATAGAGTTTTACTTTTAGTTAGAAACTCCTCAGCAGTGAGTGTTGCTTGCAGAGTAACAGAGATAAGTCTGAGCAACAAGGAGAAAGAAGTGGTGTAAGCAATACAAGCAATGCAAGCAAACGGCCAAAGTTTCTAAAGCAATGTTGTTCACTTCTCAAACTTAGAGATAACTAAAGTAGGCTGTTCATTTTTTGGTGCTGGTTATCGACCACAATAAATAAATATATTAACTATACAATGAGTGTAAGAGAGAATATTTATAATTTGTAACTTTAGCACAAGTCTTTCACAACTGTAACGAAAAGTGTAAGAAGAAAGTTTGGAAGACTGGAGATCCCATTTGTGCTTCTACCAAGAGCCAGGAATCAGAAACCAGGAGATTTCCAATAACTCATCTCAATAATATGATAAGCACATAAGTTAATATTCCCATTGATCTTAATACAGGTTAGGTATCCCAAATACTCCTAAAATCTAAAATTGTCCACATGTGTGCCCAATACTGTTATGCCTTTGCTTTCTGATAGTTTAGTGTACACAAACTGTGCTTCTTGCACAAAATTATTTAAAATATTGTGTATGTAATTCTTTTGAGCTATGTGTATAAGTGTATATGATGCATAAATGATTTTCATGTTTGGACTTAGATCCCATCTTATGATGTATATGCAAGTATGAGGGTTATCTGGAAAGTAAGATTACAAGGCATGTAGCTCTTGCGGGGAATTTTTGTGGGGGAAGTTGGTATCACGACAGTGTAGCGGGAAGCCAGCAGAAGCAAATGAGCAGTGCCAGTCGTCAGTAGCTCATTGACTGGCATTGTGGTGCAGATAAGAGATGAACATCCTCATTCTGCTTCCCTCCAAGTTAGAAGTTTGCGCTGTAATA